CCCGCCTTGCACATAACACTGGCTCCAACATGCACTTGACTTTACCTTGGAATTCCGCCCTGGTTGCTATGGGAGACAGAATGCAGTGTAGAGAGTGCCAACAACATCTTCCTCGCTGCTGGAGGCAATTCCAGCAGCGAGGAACCTTAAGCTGACCATACACGTATAGATTTTCATTCGAAAATTTTCGTTTCAAGAATATTCGTTTGATTTTCTAATCGTTAGTGGGGGTCAGATCGATGTTTGTTTTCGACTGCAGTTATGGGAAAATTCGAAGGGGGAATTCGAAGGAAAGAAAACTTTTCTCGATCAAACAAATTTTCGGACAGTATATGTGGCTATTGTTCAGAAATTACATTCATTTTAAACTCGAATGTTAAAAGCAAAAGACAATTTTCGAATGACATTCGTCCATTCACCAAATCTTCAAACTTCTTCTTAGTCTTCTTAGACTTTTTTGTACTAATATTCTAGTCCGAAAATCGACATGTGTATGGCCAGCTTAAGTTGCTTGTGGCAACACAATGAATGACTTGCACTAGACTCTTCATACCCCATGTGCTAGTGACCCAAGCTGTAGACTAAGTGCAAATTTGTGCCGGTTACTTGCATTACACCCCTTGGAGTAACTTCAGACCAGGCTAAAGGCAAAGTGCTCAATGCTTTATTGAATAAAGAGTAGACAGGACAGATTCCAACATGTAGGATACAGTCTTTCCCTAAGTCCCTAACCCTACTCAGAGGTAGAGAGGTAGAGTCCATGTGCTAAAAGGTCCATCAGTGGCATTCTCCAGCACCTGGTGTCTTCAGGGGTGACCTCCAGGTATAGAGGACCTTCTACATTATGGCAGCAGTAGGTGGCTTTTTTATACATTTTTGTCCTGGATGTGGTTTCCTGATCTTCTCTTGTCTGGGGCTCTGGGCTCTTATATCACAGGCTTCAGGGGTGAACTCCAGGTACAGAGGACCTTCTACATTATGGCAGCAGCAGGTGGCTTTTTTATACATTTTTGTCCTGGATGTGGTTTTCTCTTGTCTGGGGCTCTGGGCTCTTATATCACAGGCTCAGTGTGTTGGACTTAGAGATAACCCGCCAAAAATGAAAAAACCTGGGAATGGTATTAACCTCTACCCCTCCCTCAGAGCAGCACCTAACTAGAACATGCTTTAACTTGCCTATAGGCAGGGAGACTGGAACAGCTATGATTGGAGATTATTTTATTGTCCTACCAATATTAAGTCATTCTTAGTGCTCATTTTGTTTCGTTTGTATTGTTGCATTTTATGATAATGGAGTCATTGTCTTCATGGATATATTTTAAACTGTTGTATAAATCCTGTCTCTAGATTATCATGAATGTTTTACCTTGCAGCTCTCCTATGTCCTTCTTCAAAGTGTGCCTGTAGTTCATCCACAGTATCTTATTTATATTCCATATTACTATAGAGCTATTATATTATGCAGCACTCTGCAGTATACATTTTTACATTCACTTTAACAATCCCTGTCCCAATGGTCCTTCCAATCCCATGTATCTACAGAAGACAGTTCATTTACCAGTATAGATTAGTAACACTGATAGAAAGAGGAGAACCTTGAGATCACACACAATCAGAACATGCAAACACCATGTATCTAGCTCCCTGGTGGGATTTAGTCCATGACCTCTTGCTGAAAACAATCATATACTGCTGCCATTTACATCTTACCAGGACGTCAAACTGATATGTGCCTCCTATACCTGGGGGTTTGTGTTTCTCTCCATTTGTCTGAGTTCAGATGCTGGTGTAATGCCACAGTTGTCACTTGGCATTTCTGTTAAAACAGATTTTATATTTGGATTTTGGACAGGTCATTGCTGTACAATGTGCACTACCAGGCAATGCACCAGCAAATCATGTGATGTTGAACCTGTAAGTGAACACTTTTTCTTTTCAATCCCCAAAACTGGATTTTTTTTTCAGTTTGCATGTGTCATATGCGTCATGTGTGTGCTACATGGTTATACTATCAGCCTAATTATTGAGTGTAAGCAGCAATGCCAGTGTGCAAAATGCAGTCACACATGAGATTTCAGATTTCTACGCGTTTCTGCGCTTTGCTCAGTGCTCTTTTCCTTATGGGATATGTTTTTATTTATTCTATTGCTAAACTATCATTACCAACGCTGATCACACAGGTTACAGTCAATTCAGGTTACAGTCAATTTATACAGTTAGCATACTCATCAACATTGGGGTTAAAGTGCATCTAGAGTCCAAACCTTTTTATTAGTTTTTGATTAGTGAAGGGTTAAAATCCCTGTCAGGTCAGTATTGCTATCATCCTCTCTATTTGTCCTGAAACCATTATCACCAGAACTGAGAACAAAGGAAAATCCAATATTTGGAGTTTTAACTAGAACAGGAATAGAGGGGAAATATTCCAATGTAGACTTTGATAACAATTGTCTAAGAGAAACAGCCAATCAGCTTCTAATTTCTAACTTCAGTTTGTTTAATTAAGCTTTGGAAAAAAACCTGGAAGCTGATTGGTTTCTATGTGGAGTTGTACCAGATTTTGCACTCTTCAGTTTTAATAAATAATCCCATTGTGTCTACTGAAAGCAATTAAGTGAACCTTTCTGAACATTCTCGTCACCACCCTTTTTTCTCACCCCTGAACCATACTATCACACTATACCTCCTTCTGTGAACACACCTTGACTTACCATTAAACCCCCTTTTCTTACACAGTCTGCCCCTAACCCCCATTACCATATCACGCCTTCTCTTATCCCTGTTGCTGCTTTGAATTCTATGTCATTGCCCCTCCAAAGCCCCCCCCCCCCATCACAGCTGCTGTAAACTTGCTTCCTCCAACCCCCCTCCCCAGCACCCTGCACCCCCTGCCACATTCTATATTGTGGTTTTGACTTACTGCTATGTTGTGAGTAGCAAGGTAAGCCTATATTATGCATAGATGTAAATAACAGCAGATCAGCTATCACATAGAATAGCAGATATGGGCCCATATTGCTTTTTAAGTCCTCATGCACACTGGAGATTTTTAGCACTGCTCCTAGGGGTGTCTGCGTTTTCTTTGGCCTTTAACCACTTCCAGTCCAGACACTTTCAGCCCCTTCCTGTCCGGACACTTTCAACCCCTTCCTGTCCAGGCCAATTTTCAGCTTTCAGCGCTATCACACTTTGAATGACAATTGCGCTGTCATGCAACACTGTACCCAAATTAGTTTATAACCAAAAATTATAATTTAAAAATTTTTTTTTTACATTTTTATTTTATTTTTTTTATATTATTACTTATGTTTTTTTTTTTAACATACTGTCATCCTAGCAGTACAGTGTCATCATAGTGACACTACTACTTGGGGGGGGGGGGGTGATGAAGATTTTTTTTTTTCACACTCATTGCTTTTACACCCATAAAGGCCATAAAAGCAATAATTTCTCCTTCTCTCTGGCTGCATTCTTGCAGCCATTGAGACATACTGTGTGAGCTGTGATTGGTCACAGCTTGTCACATGGTACAGGGCTGTTGAGCATAATGGATCGGAGTTCGATCCATTATGCTCCCCAATCAGCAGATCCGATCCATCTTGCAGGGATCCTCGGCTTGCTTTAAAACTTACCTTTTCATGGAACTCGTGGAGAGATCAGTTAACCCTGTATAGGTTGCAAGCCGACGATCCCCGCAGGATGGATCAGATCTGCAGATTGGGGAGCATAATGGACCGGACTCCGATCCATTATGCTCAATCCATAGATCCGATCCATCCTGCAGGGATCGTCGGAGGAGTGACACCAAGTGTTACCGCACCGAGTGACACCAACCCTAGGGACGCCCCTGATGCTTTTTGTCCTCTTCCTCCAGAAATAGACAACAGCTTGGTTCTGGTTCTGGTTCTAGGTTCTGGTGCATACATGTAGCCATGCCTTTTGACAGCACGTTTTACAGGCAACCTACTTGTACATCCATAACTCTAACAAAATGTAGAATGGGAAATAATTCAATGTAGTAATGTCATATTGGGCTAAGGAAGAAACCCTAAAAAATAAAGTCCATACATGCCCGTAAAGCAACCAAAAACAGTACTGTACAACAAAAATACAAAGCTTGAGGGCCATTCACATCAGCGGTTGCGTCAGAATGCAGCCTGGCATACGTTAGAATTAAAGCGATGAAAGTGACAGTTCATTGTGTTCTATTGGCAGCGGTGGTTTGCATCACACTGCGTTACAAAAAAATATTACATGCCATATTTGTTTTTAGTGCACACCATCTCAACTCAGTGGCTTGGTAGGAGACGAGGCATTTTACCTTTTTTTACAGGAAGACTGCTCTGAAATAGCTGCCCTGGTGTGAATTGGCCCTAAAGATTGTCCAGGAAGCCTCCAGTGGAAACAGCCTCTAGGTGGAAAGGACCCAACCTTACCCATATACCCATTTATGACAAAGAAAAACACTTTCTTGTCACTTTGGGAGGCCTCAGTACATATTTTACTTTTATTGCATAAAATCAGTGCTCTGCTTATTTGATTTTAAACAAGTTGTAGGGCCCTATTTATGATAAAGACTCAACAAAGTATCCTTTCATTTATCTATTTATGATAAAGACTCAACAAAGTATCCTTTCATAGTGGTTCACTTCTAACACTTTCATATCCAGTTTTACTACTTCCAGGATACACTTTCTACTAAAGGGCCTGAGGAAATTAAGCTGAATCATTAAGTGAACACGCTGAAGATAGACAAGTAAGGGTAGCCATACACGGCTCGATCTTCTCTCATTCTCTCATTAGTTGATTCCCTCATCCACACTAAAAGAAAAACATAAATTTTCCAAAGTCTGTCAAAATACAATAAAATGATGGCTGAAATTGAGCTTTTTACCTTTAGCAGCTATCTTCAGAGAACAATTTGCTTGAACTTGTACTCCAGTGAACCCAGGAAATTATGTGATGAAGGGCAGCAAAGTCAATGCAAGGACAACAAACAGTCATATCCACAAGCAACAACACACTCTACAACAGTAAGTTAGGAGCAGGGGCGGACTAACAACTCATGGGGCCCCTGGGCAATAGGGGATCATGGGGCCCCTGTGTCCTCGCCCACACTCAAACCACACCCAAAAAAGCCTATGAAAGGTACCAGGGGCATCTCATGGGGCCCCCTACTGACCCTGGGCCCTCTGGCAGTGCCCGAGTCCCTGAATGGTCAGTCCACCCCTGGTTAGGAGTGTAAAGAACTGTGATTAAAAAGGAAGCTGGAGCAATCTGGATGCCCACTGACTTGCATGGTTGTCCTCAGCTATGCCTTCCAGGTTGGCAGATGGCCTGAAAGCATAAAAAGTGTGAACATGTGCTTGGTCAAAAGAGGAAGATCAGGAATGCCAGTGGAAGCTGAAGAGATACAAAACTTCGGGTAAAAACCAAGCAGCACATCAGAGGAATCCAATATCAATGAGGCAGAGGGAGAACTGGCAGAAGAATGTGTCACTGAAGCAGGGGCGGACTGACCATTTGGAAACTCAGCACTGCCCGAGGGCCTGGGGTCAGTAGGGGGCCCCATGAGATGCCCCTGGTACCTTTTTCATAGGCTTTTTTGAGTTTGGGCAAGGACACAGGGGCCCCATGATCCCCTATTGCCCGGGGGCCCCATGAGTTGTCAGTCCGCCCCTGCACTGAAGACCAATTACTTGATCCCTGGCAGCTCCTCAAGGGCCTCCCATGGTGCAGACACCTATCAACTGCCCAACTGGATGAAGGCCCTGTATGTAGTCCCTGACACTTTGCTAATTATTGTAGGTTTACCTGCAATAATAATTTGAATATATTTGTTTAAAGGCAATTGCGCTGTCTTCTCCTACATGTATATTGATGTGAAACAACAGTGGGACTTTTTTAATTTATTCCTTGATTCAACAGGTCTGGTAATATCCAGGCCTGGGTGTGGCAAGTGAAATTTAACTCAGCTTTCCAAAAAATTTGGTTAATCACAGTTCATTGATGATTTAGCAGAAGTGGGAGGCAATTATTTTTCACATAGGGCCAGGCACATGTGGACAGCTTTTTTCCCATAAAAAATTAAATCATAATTTTAAAACTGCATTTTGCATTTACTTGGGTTATCTTTGTGTAGTATGAAAATTTGATTGATCAGAATCATTTAAAGTGTTACTAAAGCCATAACAGTAAAATCAGTCTGTATATGCAGTAAAGCATGCTTGTTATACTCACTGTGAAACCTAAGGGGTTAATCCTCCACATTGTGTAAAAACGCTGCTTGATCCTGACTTCTCTGGTCCACCCTTTCTTCCAGCACCCCCCCCCCCTCTTTTCTCCTGATAAGACATATCATGTGGAGTCACTTTGCACATGCTCAGTTTGGTGTGTATTTCTAGAGAGGTTTTTTTTTTTTCTTTGGGAGAGTGCATGTGATCAGCACAGGGCCAATCAGCACTGTCCAGACAGAGGTCAGGGGTCCTACATCCTCCAAGAGGAGAATGAAAACTCCTTTTACAAGCTTTAAACCAGTGCTCTGCTGAACATTGAAGTCACAAGACTGCTCTAACTGCTGATGAGAAACGGTATTTAACAGTTTATATTTACTAAAATAATTGAATTTCCGGTACTGTGGAAGACCGGATATAGTGAATGCAAGGTCCTGGGTTTAGTAACACTTTAATGGCTTCTGTGCCGCCCTATAGCAGAAATACTGCTACAGGGCGGCACGGGTGTGCAAAATCAAGTATATATATATAAATATATATATATATATATTTATATATATGTGTGTGACTTTGCAGTTCCGGGTATGGGGCATGCACGAGCTGCACGTACGCCCTAACCAAGGCGCCATTTGCGTCCTCGACTGTCAATCGCAGGGACCCTGCCAGTGATTCCCCACCGACACCTGACGATCTCCTGACAGATCTCTCCCCTGTCAGCTCCTGCACACTGCTTTGTATGGCTCTGCAGAGCCATACAAAGCAGTGTGCTTACAGTGAAACACAGTAACAGCTCACATTGTAAAACAGCACACAGTTAACCCTTTGATCGCCCCAGATGTTATCCTCTTCCTGCCCATTGCCATTAATAGTGTCAGTGCTTTTTAGCACTGATCACTGTATTGGTGTCACTGGGGATGTTAGTGACCCCAAGTCAGTTCCCCCCAGTGTCAGAATGCCTGCCGCAGTCCCACTATAAGTTGCTGATTGCCGCCATCACTAGTAACAAAATAAATTCCAGTATATATACCGCCAGTTGTAAACGCTATAACTTTCACGTAAACCAATTAATTTACACAAAATAGGATTTTTTTTTTAAGCAAAGACATGTAGTAGAATAAATAATCAAGAAAAACAAAAATAAGTGAGCGCTTGAATAGATATAATAATGAGCAGCAGCTGTACACCAAAAAGGCACCGTATCAAACCTTCAAGGACATAAATGTCCTGCACCCCTATGAGTACGAGCCTTCGCTCGAAACGCGTCAGATAAAGCTACAGCAGGTTGGACGCCTCACCATCTTTGATTTGCATCTGGTCAGTACTATTTTGTATGTTGGTTTTCCTGCTATCCTGTGCCTATAATAAAGATACCTAAGGATATCACACTATGTGGCCCTTTCTATTTATTTGAGTTCTGGTGGGAACCAGCCAGATCCATGGAATAGCTGCATCTATCCGGGGTACCAGGCAAAGAAGGGTATGCTGACCAGATTTGACCAGACCAGGATGATGACACAGGAGGGGTCCAGTGATATTTTACACAAATGCGCAGAAAGATTGCGTATCTGGTGAGTGCGCAATCTTTACATTTTTTATCACCTGACGGTTCCTAATAATGGACGTCTGAGGATCATCCTGGATCTTAAGAGCACTCCTCCATTGGACTGTTTCACTTCCCTCACTTCATAGCCACCATCCAGTGGCTTTATTAACACACAGTCACTGTTTTTATTGTTTAATATTTTATTGTTTATCATCTGTGTTTGATCCATTATTATTTGCTAAGTTATATAGCGCTGCACCCCCCCTTTTTTTACATTTATGTAGTAGAATACATTTTGGCCTAAATTTAAGACGAAATTTGATTTTTAAATTTTTTTTACTGGACATATTTAATAGCGAAAAGTCAAAAATACTGGGGTTTTTTTCAAAATTGCCGGTCTTTTTTTATAGCGCAAAAAATAAAAAAAATGCGCAGGCAATCAAGTACCACCAAAAAAAATCTCTATTTATGGGGAAAAAGGTACTTACATTTAATTTGGGTGCAGTGTTGCATGACCGCACAATTGTCAGTTAAACAATGGCTAGGTCAGGAGGGGGGGGGGGGGGATAAATCCTCTGGAGGGCATGTGGTTAAGTATGACAAGTATGCATTAAAAAAAAAATCAGGAAGGGGGAAATACTTTTTCACAGCACTGTGTATACCACCCTCATAGAGAAAATGTGCATATACAGTATATTTTATATATATATATATATATATATATATATATACACACACACACACACACATATATATATATATATACAGTGGGGATCGAAAGTTTGGGCACCCCAGCTAAAAATTTGTATTAATGTGCATAAAGAAGCCAAGGAAAGATGGAAAAATCTCCAAAAGGCATCAAATTACAGATTAGACATTCTTATAATATGTCAACAAAAGTTAGATTTTATTTCCATCATTTACACTTTCAAAATAACAGAAAACAAAAAAATGGCGTCTGCAAAAGTTTGGGCACCCTGCAGAATTTTATAGCATGCACTGCCCCCTTTGCCAAGCTGAGACCTGCCAGTGTCATGGATTGTTCTCAATCATCGTCTGGGAAGACCAGGTGATGTCAATCTCAAAGGTTTTAAGTGCCCAGACTCATCTGACCTTGCCCCAACAATCAGCACCATGGGTTCTTCTAAGCTGTTGTCTAGAAAACTGAAACTGAAAATAGTTGACGCTCACAAAGCTGGAGAAGGTTATAAGAAGATAGCAAAGCGTTTTCAGATGTCAATATCCTCTGTTCGGAATGTAATTAAGAAATGGCAGTCATCAGGAACAGTGGAAGTTAAAGCAAGATCTGGAAGACCAAGAAAAATATCAGACAGAACAGCTCGCAGGATTGTGAGAAAAACAATTCAAAAACCCACGTTTGACTGCACGATCCCTCCAGAAAGATCTGGCAGACACTGGAGTTGTGGTACACTATTCCACTATAAAGAGATACTTGTACAAATATGGTCTTCATGGAAGAGTCATCAGAAGAAAACCTTTTCTACGTCCTCACCACAAAATTCATCGTTTGAACTTTGCAAATGAACATATAGACAAGCCTGATGCATTTTGGAAACAAGTTCTGTGGACCGATGAGGTTAAAATTGAATTTTTTGGCCGGAATGAGCAAAGGTACGTTTGGAGAAGAAGGGGCACAGAATTTAATGAAAAGAACCTCTGTCCAACTGTTAAGCATGGAGTTGGATCAATCATGCTTTGGGGTTGTGTTGCAGCCAGTGGCACAGGGAACATCTCACGAGTAGAAGGAAAAATGGATTCAATAAAATTTCAGCAAATTTTGGATGGTAACTTGATGCCATCTGTGAAAAAGCTGAAGTTAAAGAGAGGATGGCTTCTACAAATGGATAATGATCCTAAACACACCTCAAAATCCACGGGGGATTACATCAAGAGGTGTAAACTGAAGGTTTTGCCATGGCCTTCACAATCTCCTGACCTCAACATAATTGAAAATCTATGGATAGACCTTAAAAGAGCAGTGCGTGACAGACAGCCCAGAAATCTCAAAGAACTGGAAGACTTTTGTAAGGAAGAATGGGCAAAGATACCTCAAACAAGAATTGAAAGACTCTTGGCTGGCTACAAAAAGCGTTTACAAGCTGTGATACTTGCCAAAGGGGGCAGTACAAGATATTAACTCTGCAGGGTGCCCAAACTTTTGCAGACGCCATTTTTTTGTTTTCGGTTATTTTGAAAGTGTAAATGATGGAAATAAAATCTAACTTTTGTTGACATATTATAGGAATGTCTAATCTGTAATTTGATGCCTTTTGGAGATTTTTCCATCTTTCCTTGGCTTCTTTATGCACATTAATACAAATTTTTAGCTGGGGTGCCCAAACTTTCGATCCCCACTGTATATATATATATATATATATATATATATATATATGCATATTTTCCCTAAGACGCTGGTTGCCATGGGAACACTAGAGGGCCACAGGTGGCCCCCAGGCCGTCAGTTGGGCACCACAGCTCAAGAAAGTGAAATTGACATTTCTAGTTTAATTACTGTAGAGTAATTCACTTAATGTCTACAGTGGTAATTACCTAATTATTTACTAATAATGCTCTAGGCCATTTATTCTAAACACATGGCTCTCCAGTTAATGCCTGGTGGATTTTACCTTTCATTAGTTAAGAAAAGCCAAAAAAAAATGAAAAGCGGTTGGCAGTTTTGGGTTACTGGCACATAGAGGTTGGTTATATTAAAAATGGTTTTTTTTTTTTGTACTCTAATCATTATTTATATAATTAAATGATAATCAAGACCCCTATTTTAATTAGGAATTTTGCTGTTCATTATATTTGATCAATAGTACAATTACTTACAAATACAAATGTTGCTATTCAATATGTTACATCAATTATAAGCATCATTTCTCGGCAAGTGTAATGTAATTAAATGATCCTGTTGATATAAGCATTAAAGCAATGTTACATTTTCCTGTGTTAAAACAAATTGAATTAGTACTTTAACACTGGTGTCAGCTAAACCTAATAGAAAAAAAATCCAAATGTACCTCACCATTCTGTACAAGAGATTGACAGCTGACCCACAGCTATAGCATGTTACATCACAGTGCATTAGAGGGAATAGCGAAGAATTAAAGGAGTTGTAAAGGCTGTTTTTTTTATTATATAATAAACAGGTTTATACCAGGGGCAGACTGACCATTTGGAAACTCAGGCACTGCCCGAGGGCCTGGGGTCAGTAGGGGGCCCCATGAGATGCCCCTGGTACCTTTTTCATAGGCTTTTTTTAATTTGGGCAAGGACACAGGGGCCCCATGATCCCCTATTGCCCGGGAGCCCCATGAGTTGTCAGTCCACCCCTGGTTTATACTTACCTGCTCTGTGCAATGGTATTGCACAGAGTGGAGCCGATCCTTCTCTTCTGGGATCACTCACCATTGTTATAGGCTGCTCCTCTTCTCGGTGTGTCATCATAGGAAACCACTACCTATGGTGGCACAAGTGCGGGCTCACTACCAAGCCCTGTCGTGTCCATCCATAGACATTCTGCAAGGGTTAAATGCTCTTTTAGGTATAAGGGAAACAAGAAAGCACTTTTACTTACTCAATTCTCATCTCCTGCAATCTCCTCCACACTGTAAGCCCTGGTTCATATATATGTGGCGTGCGGGCTGCGTTTTGCACGGGCACAAGAGCCCATTCATTTGACCTGACTCCCGTGCCCTGTGACACGCAGGGAAGAATTCCCTGCACTTCTTCAGAAAATGCAGCTCGCGGATCCGCAGCGGCACCACCCGCACAGATGTGAATCTAGCCTTAGACTGCTCCCCAATGGCACTAATGGCACCCACCCACAGGTCCGCATTCCTTTGTGCGGGTGGTGCAG